GGCTATTGTTTTTGTGTGCCCTCACGCCCTTCCAAAATAATGAAGTGCGTTTTTGGATATGTGCTGCGCACCCCCACCCGCAACTCAGACCCCTCACGGGGTTGTATAACGGTTGATACTAAAAATCCTGCATGACCTTAGTATACTATAGTACCATTATTCCCAATGTTTAGGGTAGTTAGGGTCATGCAGGATTTTTAGTATCCACCGTAGTAGTAGTAATGTCGTAATTCTGTAGTCATCACAATAGCAATCATCTCAAAGCAGCGATTAAAAACCCTGCAAAACCCTGAGACCTGACCAAAGGAGCCACTCCCGATCAGGTCCCCAATCTCATAGACCTGTCGTGCGTCTTGCAGTGTAGCAGCCAGCCCACAGAGTGAGACTAGGGATATTTGGGTCTGTGGGGGAATATTATACACTAGGATCCCCAGCAAAGCCTAAATAATAAGGGCACCCTTTTTCCTACTGTTCTATTTTAATAAGGAGAACCCCGAATAAACAGGGAAAAAGGGTACAACTGAGGTACCTAGTACAAGCTAGCATCCCACAAAGTCAGAATAGGGATATTTGGGTCTCTAGCGAATATTCTACAAGCTTCTACAGTAGCTTCTGGGTTTGGGATCTCAGGTTGAGGGTTTGGGGGCCAGGGATCTGGATCCAAGGCCTTGTGCCAACTTCAAGAATAGCGACTAGACAATTTCCTGATACAGGCGTCTTACTCTGAATATAGTCACCCTTAAGTAGATAGAATATGGCTATTCTATCTACTCAGGGGGCCTTATACATTTATGAGCGTAAGAGCCGTGATGATCTCAACTATTTCTGGCGCAGAGGAATATGTGTGGTCCATGACCGCAAGACAACGGCAGCAGCACTTAGAATCTGAAGGGGCTTGGGGTTTGTGGCTTCGGGGTCCATACTGGGGTCCATATTTGGCCCCCTATTCGGAAGTTGACAGGCTTAGGGAAAGTGGTGTGGCCCATGGGCAATGCTCGGTCTAAGCTACCGCTTGAAGTACTGCACCTAATGCACTGGGAGCGCTTATGCCTCCGACTTTGATATGAACACGCTGCCACAAGCGACTGGAACGCTAAATTGAGTAGCCAGACAATGACATCCAACCATAGAACCTTGCCCCTAAACAATCCCTGTACAATCCGTACATAGTTCCAGGTTCCAGCAAAGGCACAAATCTCTGCTTAAAAACATGAGCCCTGAATTTCCAGCCAAGCAGCGGGCCCCTAGCCCATGTCAGTCGTGCTTTTTTCTAAGCTGAACCAAGCAAGATTCTATGAGTTTTGCAGAATATTGAAGCCAGATGCAGAAAACTGTCCCTTCTTCTTGGGGTTCCGCGGGCTGCAGGCCGTCTGCGACATGAGATATATCTTTAAGGGATACCCCAAGAGACAGTCACTAGGGATACATGGGACTATGAGAAGCCTCTCAGGGACTGCAAAGGGACAATTTTGAGAAACATCCATCTAAACATAGCCAACTACTTCACCCATATGAAGCTACTGCTTTGCGCCTAGTATGGACTCAGGAGATCCGTACAGGAATCCCAGCATTAGGTCCAACCTAGTCCCCAAACACATCCAAAAACGTTATATTCCAATCACCCAGCCGCTACTAAGCACCAGGTAGTCCCGGCCTGGCTGTCTCTACTTCAGACTTTTCATCCCTAGATGGGCCCTCATCCTTCAACCGCACAAAACAGCCAAAGGCAGCCGTGATAAGCAGAAGGACTCCATGTGCCAACCGGGCTCTGCAAGGTTGAGGATTCCGGGATTAGGATGTAATGTCTGCCATCGGTGTATGGGTAAGTGACAGGATTAGGGTTTAGGGTTTTCGCTGCTTTAACACTAGTGAACATAATAACAACGAACCCCACAAGTCTAGACAGCTAACCGCAAGCCCAACATCCCCTAAATCCTACGCCCCAAACCTGCCGTCAAACCCAGAATGCAAGGCCAAGAGCTTTTCCTAGACCCCTTTACTCTACCCCATTTCTTGGTACCAAAATTTTGCATGTAGAAAATACTAGACATAGTACCCCCAAAAAGGGGCGGGGTATGCGGGTCTTTGTAGCCGGTAATTGAGTCAGGCCTCGAAGAAGCCGGCCTTGCGACTTTCACGGTGTAGGGTTTGGGATTTGGGGGGGTTTGGGGGTTTGGGGCTTTAGGCTTTAGGGTGTGGGGGTTTAGGGGTTTAGGTTTAGGGTTTGGGGGCTTAGGGTTTGGGGATTTAGGGCTTACGGGAGTCGCTCCCACATGTTATTACGGAATGTGCAAAAGGGTGAGAAGGATTGGTGGTGGGTATCCCCACATCCATGTAGATTATGATGCACTTGCGCAGCCTGTAGTGAAGTGCAAGCATCATCGAGTACAGAGAGCTAGATGCCTGCACTGCGAAGACGCTGTTGATACGCAAAACCCTGCATAATCTTAGTCTGCTAGAATACCCTTCTCCAGATTGTACATGGTATGAGGCCGGGCTGCGGTGATTTTACAATGAAGAACAATTTTTCACACACAGCCAAGCTGCGATTGATGTGTGGTGGGCTCCTGATAATAGGTAATAGGTGCTCCTGAACATTTAGGTTAGTTATCTCGTTATCCCTGCGTATATAACGCGTCCACTTGATGTTTATTTACTTTTTCTCTAGTCTGCCCTAACCCCTGACCGTAATCCGTAAACCAGTATACCTTTAAACTTCAACCCTTAACTACCTAGACCCTCCTCCTACCCTCTATCAGGGCCTAAGTACCCACTATTAGGGGCCATATACCCCCCAATTAAAGGTACAAGGAGGGTCGTGGTACCCAGAATCCTCAACTACCCCTCAAACCGTCTAAGGCGCCCCTGAAGGCCTCCTGTGGCTGCCGCAGCTTCAAGCTACGCTCATCGGGCCTGTTGAGTAGTGTTTTTTTTGGTGGATGAACCTAGTTATATAGGCATAATGGAAAAAACATGGAAGCTACTACATTATAATAGGGTATATATTGGGGTTATATTGGGGTAATATTGAGTAGTGTTTTTTGGTGGTTGAACCTAATAAGATTATATTCTTTCTCTATCATGGGTACCATAATGTCTCCAAATAAAATACTACTCTGTTGAGATTGGAGTAGTCATCCTACTGGGATTAGGGGAGGCAATACATGGATGATTACCACGACCCTCCTCGTACCCTCAAATAGGGGTATATGGTCCCTAATAGTGGGTATTTACGGTATATAGAGGGAAGCAAGTGGGTCTGGGTAGAAGGGATCATATTGGGATTGCCTTTCTGGTGTTCAAGGGGGAGTGGGGGAGAGAACACAGGGAGATTGATCCGCTACCCCCTCCCTTCTAAGCACCAGCAAGGCAGACCTGTGAAGGTAATGGAAACTACTATCGTATATTGGGATTATATAGGGATAATGAAAAAGAACATGGAAACTACTATAGCATATTATAGGAGTTGTGTCTTAAATTGTCGCAGTTTGGGCCCTCGATTTTTGAAGGTCTGCGTAGGAAAAGGGTACCTCGGACATAGAAGAATAGCTAGTCTTTGTCCGGATATTTGGGGCACATCTTTTTCCAGAAACCGTCTAGCAATGCCTTGCGTTCGGAGAGGGTGGCAAAACCTGTCATTCATCTTTCGGACTGCGTTAGGACAGAAGCAGGCAGGATGTCAACACGCCCGAGCTATGAATAGGCCAAACCGAATAAGCCGAGATCACTGGAAAGCCAGATGAGAGAATTGATTCCATCCCTGACTGAAGAGCACTGACCTTCTCAGAAGGATCTCCATAAACAGGGCGACCCCAATAGAGACGCCCGGATACTATAATCATCCTTATAAAAGGAACCCCCAAAAAGTACACTACGATTTGGGAAGCCCTCAAGAAGCTGCGCTATTGAGGCAGATTGGGGTCAGCAAGCTGAACCTGAGCAAAGGGCAGCCTTGCCTTCATCTGCGCGGTTAAGGGTTGTGGTTTCAGGTTTAGGCTATTGCAAACTTGGAGGGTCAAGGGGACTTAGCAAGTAGACTTATAGGCCCTTTAAGGCACATAGTAATCCCAGTTATCCCCCTTTTCGCAAACTACCTTCTACGCCCCCTGATCAGCCATGTAGAGTTCAGGGCTTACTTCGAAGCTCAATGGGGTTAGGCAGTAGGTTAATCATGAGGATACACAGGGCTACTGTCTGGCCTGTTGGGGATATAGTGGGGAGTTTATGGTTTACAGTGCAGGGTTTAGGTTCCCTTGGCCATCCAAGTAGGGATTAGGGTTTTAGGGGAGTCATGCACTGCGGGGGTGCAAAGCGCACAGGGTAAGCCTGCGCATGCTTGGAGCCTCGGATATTGTTTCTGAACGTAAAGGTTTTGCAGAACAGGTCTGGATTCATTTTGCTCTGATTGACCCTTTGACCAATACCATATCGTTCATTACTATTACTACTACTGTAACTATCGCTTCTATCTTTTTCTATTGCTAATGTTATTCTTTGTAGAACCCTTGCAACCCCAATCTTATCCTGCAAGCTTCCTGCTCCCAGAGCTTCGGGTCTCTGGTTTCTGTGGCACGGCGCACTGTCAGCAGTGGTCGTCAGTGGTCGTCTTTCTACAAGCTAGCGCGGCCCCGGATGGATGGACCCCGAACGATAACTCAAGGATGAGCCTAGCATAAGCTTAGGAAACACGGTACGGCCAAAAGATGCATCTAAACAGAGCCGAAGTCGGAACTTTGTATGTCTAGCAGGTTGCACAAATATTCTGACTCCTAAACCCCAAGCTACGAAAAGGGCCCATCCGATCCCTACAGCATCTCACTGAAAGAGGATTCCGGTGGACTGGTCCTTCTGGAGGCAGTAGCGCCTGGCGCAGAGCGTGAGGCAAAGCAAGAGCACAGAGGGATACAAAAACAAATGCCTTTAACAAATCCAGGAACAGCAAGGATAATGCCTGTAACAAACAAGTCTGTATACAAGTTCTTCAGCTTAAAGCAGCAGGAGAATGACCATGGTCATAGCCTTTGATAATACGCACGATCTTAGATTCAGGACATGAGGGACGAATTTGTTCAAGAACAGCAGTGGGTTCCAGCGAATCACATCAGAGACTCGAAAGTGTGCCGCGGGCTTATGCGGGGGCTTCTAGACCTTAGTCCTAACCCCCAATGTTGTTTCTGGAGGTCAGAGGGGTTGCCCTGAACTCGCTGGTGCTATTTAGAGGGTGAAGGAGGGAGGGAGGAAATACAGGTACTAGTATAGCAGGAATACTTTTGAGCTCCACTTCACCAGCCTCCCCAACCCGCCAGTAACTGAAGGATGGTACAGGGATTGTTTTGCGAAACTTCCAGCCACTTAGACCGGCCCGCGTAGGATTGTGCTGCAAATCTTGTGCTCGCAACTCTTAACATGCAAAACCCTAAAGCCAAGAGACCAATAGGAATGATCAGAAACGTCCCATCCTCCTCTGCCATATCCGAATCTACAGCAATACTGTCATGAGGATGTATGGCCCCATGTTGGTGCATGTCTTGTTTCGGGTAAAGCTTGCTTTTCACATGCTGGGCTCCTGTCATAGTAACACCCCTTCGTCATATTGATCCTTAAGGTTAACAACAAGGATTCCAGACAGCCTTCTGTGGTAGCCTATGCAATATACTGAACCGTTATTTAACTCAAACCAAAACTGGCAAACCCGCTAATTACATCCCGCATCATCCCGTCCAAGTTCGGAATGAGAATTACAGACAGACCCTACGTAAACCTGGATTCCTCAATCCACATCCTGATGCCCGAATGCTCCAACTCCCATCCCCGATCCTTGGAACACCTGATACACTGACCCATGGACCCTAATCTCTAAACTCTCATCTCTACAACTCTCAAGTCTTTATAAGCCCTGATCCTTACCCAATCCGAAAACTGTTCCCCGAACCCTCACTCAACCCTAGCCCTAGGGATCCAACTGGCCCAAAGTAGATACGTTTTATAGGGTTTAGGACCCAAAGCAAAAACTATTAACAGACTGGATCCCCCTGGTAATTCCTAAACCTTCATGCCGCCTAAAGCCTAATCCCTCTAAGCCCTCATCCTGAAACCCCATCCTTACACCCAATACCTTACGTCGCATCCCCCAAGCAGACATAGAAGCCCATATTGGCCCGCGTTTTAGGAGGAACAGCAGTCTTTGTAGCAACCCTTCGGAGCCTGCATGCTAGTTTGGGAGAGTCATCCCCCTCCCCCTAATATTGAACCCCCACCCCACCCCCTCATATTAAATACTCCCCATTGTGGTACATTATAGAACCTTGGGAGTATTCAATATTAGGGCGGCGGGGGGGCGTTTAATATTAGGGGAGGGGATTAATTTAGGGTTTAGGGTTTATAAGCATCCCATTAGCCATAGTCTAAACTCCTAGTATTCCCCTTAGTAACCCTAGAGTTTAGGCTTTAGGGTTTAGGGGTTAAGGTCGAAACTTCAAGTATACCCCTTCAAAACCCTGGTTTAGGCTTTAGGGCTTAAGGTTCAGGGTTTGGGGTTTAAGGTCTAAACTCCCCGTATCCCCCTTAGTAACCCCTATAGTAGTCCCCTATATGTACCCTATATAATCCCCTATATGACCCCCCCTTTAAGGAGTTTAGACTATGGCTCATATGTAGAAAGCTGGCTCTTTTAACATAACCCCTATAGTAGTCCCCTATAATCCCTTATATAGCCCCCCCTCTCGACTTCGTAGGAGATTCTTCAAGATCCCTGCGCGGCCTGTCCAAGACCACACTGGCAAACGGATCCACGGGGCAACTGGCCTCTCAAATCAAGGGTTCCAGGGTTGTACCCCTAAGGTCGTAACCCTAAACCCTAAACCCTAAACCCTAAGCCCTGAAGCCTAAAGCCCTGAACCCTAAAAGTTTCCCCAATATGGCCTTAATATAGCCCTTATATGACTTAATGTAGTCCTCTAGGGTGCCTTACAAGGATTGCAAAACCCCAGGGGTACAACGCTAGGGATAAAACCATTGCTGAAAGGAAGGCAGGGATCTTTCTGAAATTAGAGTGGTTTGGGGTATAGGGTTTAGGGTAGAGGGTTTACGGTTTTGAGGTATATAGGGTTTGAGGGTTGAGGGTTATTACCGGGACAAGCCCCTGCGAAGCCATGAAACGGGTTCTTATTCTGAGGATTTTGATGGGTAAGCGCCACAGAACTACAATGTAAACCCTGAAGCCTAAAGCCTAAACCCTACATCCCTGGGTCGGTCCCTGCTTTGACAAGAAGCCTCCCGGATGTAGGCGTGAAACTCGCCTGGCCAGTCTCCAAGGATGTTGTAGGAGTGCGCTTTAGGGATGAAGGCTTTGGGTTCAGGGACTTGAAGTTCGCACCCTTAATGTCTGCAACCTCAGGTTTTGGGGTCCCCAATTCCCTTATTCAGCGTCATATACCATGATTTAGGTGGCTAAAACCCACGGGTAGAAAGGAAACCTTTGGGGCTGCAGGCTACGGGGCGAGCTTAGAGGATGAGCTAGAAGGATTTGTTAGGCAATATTGGGGTTTAGGGCTTATAGGGTTTAGTGTATTGGGGTTATATTAGGGGGGGTATAAGGGTTATACAAGGATAATGGAAGAGAAAATGGAAACTACCATATTATAATATGGGTTATATAGGGGTTCTAGGAGACAAGCTGGCAGCTTCCATGTCATCCATTTGATTCCTCAGTATTGAGGGGAGGTTACAAATACAAATGGACCTCCAAGCCCTGAAACCTCAGTGCTAATCCGTAAACCCTAATCCCTAAACCCTGAACCTCAGTCCCTGACTCCTAAATCCTAAGCCTCGTATATTCTCTGTACAGTCTCGCGGAGTGCAGCTTTACGATTATAGGGTTTCGTTCAAGGATCGCGCCGGGGTGTTTGAAAGGA